TTGTTTACTTAAACATCACTCTAATAATCATACATTTATCAATGAACTTAAAAGTTAACACTTTTATACAAATAATTGAAGATAAAAATATTTTAACTTCAACTTAGACCTAGTTTCTCTTTAAATTCAATAACAAAAATATTCAACAATGAGCTAATTTAGAAGTAATAGAAAGAAATAACAAATCAATAAGTAGTAGCATTCTCTTATAAAATCATGAACAACTTTAAAAGTATTGTAATAAAGTAATGGTTTTTGTTGATAACAAGTATGTTAAAATATGTTATTATGGAAATAGAGCACATTAATCAAATTTGTTTCTCTGTGTCATTGAATAATTTTAAGAAGTCATACTTTTGGTAGATATTGATAGATAATTTTTTTATATCCAATGTTTTCAAGAAATAAAAATGTTTTAATTTGAGAATAATGACATAAAATGAAATATATATTGGATTAAATAATATATTAATAAGCATTCCAGTTGCGTGTTGACCAAAGTATTGCAAATGTTGTACCTGTTATGTCGGCCATATCATTACAATGAGATATGTACCTTTTCAATAAACTTCGGTATCCATGGCCAATACTTATGATAGCATTACCTTCACAAGCAGCCGCAATACATGTTACTTCTTGCTCATAAGGTCTAAATACAGTAATAGGCCTAGCAGTATCTTGTTCAACAACTACAATGCAGCCCCAGGCAGTACCTAAATATAGTTCATCACCAACTGCACAAATACTGGTGATCTGAAATGTCAAAAGTTATATTACGGTTAGTCCTAATTTAAATTAAAATGTGTACTTTATAATAGTACCTGACATTTTCCTGGGCTTAATCGTTCTTCTATACTAATAGATTTTAAACTTTCTGAACACGGTATTAGTTTTGAACAATCTAACTTGTTCATTATATTTCTGGTAGCTACATCCCATTGATAAACAATACAACCTGTACATTTAAAATGTTATTGTATAACATATAACTCTATTATTGTACATAATATTGACACGWTGATTGCCATATAACAATTACTAGTGAAATTATTATTTTTCATACAGTTTATTTCTCATATAGTTACATTTGATATATTTTTAAATGCATAATTTTAAATTTGTTTAAGGTAACTAATAAGTATTTAATTTGAAATTTTAACTACTATGCCATCATAAATATTCCACTTAAAATAAAATGTGTATTATGTTTATTATGACTCCCAATGGTCATATGGCATATAGATAATAAAGAGGTGAGACTGTCGGCATCTTTTAAAATACTTTATCTATATTATATCCTAAAACTGTAGGGACAATGTGTTATTAAAACAATTTCAATATTACTACTAACCTGGATGCACATATGACCATACTAAATTATGACCACGAGAAGTGGTCAAAGACATTACTTGTGTCTCCAAGCCGGTGTAGTCAAAATGTTTAAGAACTTCATAATTTATTGCCACATTTTGTTTTATAGTATAAACAGATATTCGGCCTTGATTCTCTCCACACCATAGTTCACAAGTCCTAGTTCAATCATTGATATATAATGAAACAATATCAAATTATTGTATTTAATTAACATACTTATTACTATCAACAGCTATAAAATCAAACAGAATGGTAGAACTACCGAGTTCACTCATCACAAAACTTCCTTCTCCCATGGTTGGAGCTAAAGGTGACATGTCACTTCTTACAAGAAATATTCTTCCATTTTCCAAACCTACTGCAACCCTATGTCTATCTTTCAGTGTTACTATGCGCTTCACTCCAAATTTTTGATCGTCTGTTGTAAGTTTATAGCTAAACATGTACTTGCTATCATTAGTCCTAAAAATAAAATAAATGATGAGCTATAAAATTTTTTATTTATTATAAATATACCTACGAGTAAGCATGAATTTGTCCTTCTACATCTCCTAACCAAACACTATAATCATCTACTGAACAAATGGTTGTAATTTTATGTGCAACATTTGTACTTCTATAATGAAACCAATTTGTGATGCTAAATGCCAATCTATCAAGTTTTCCATTAGAACAAGGTAACCATATTTCGTCACCACTATTCTCGTTATCTTCACCTACAAAACAAGAATATTAAACATTTAGATACTTAAAAACTATAAGATATGAACCTTAATATTTTAATTTTTGTTAATGAATACTAATCAATTTTTTTAATACATATTTATCAGGTGAAAATTAGTTTTAATAAAAGTTATTTAATAATTCGGCTGAGAGAAAAATAAAATATATCATACTTACTAAGTGGTAATGGTATTCGAGTACAAGAAATCACATCAGCTGAATGGCTCAGAGAGACTACATCGTATAAATGAGTAAATTCGGGAGCTGACACTATAGAAACGATTTGGCTGGCTGAAGGACGTTCTTTTGGACTTTGAGACCAGCACACTGCCATCAAATCAAGCAAATAACTTGGATAAGCTGTTTCCTGAAGAACAATAAAAAGTAATATTTTACATGTAGAATGTGACAAAATAATATTTTTTTAACATTATTTTTCTTACTCTATATGTCAATGCTGGCCGATGTCCTTCTAATATACTTTCTTTTACAGATTCATGATTTTCAAATGGTTGATGCATAGTTACCAGTTCATAAATAAACATACCAAATGAAAAGCAGTCTACTTTTTCAGTATATTCTTCTTCACCATTGTATTTTATTATTTCAGGAGCCATAAAACCTTCTGTACCACCAAAACCTTTGGTTCCAGATGGTAGAGATAAGCGACTAATTCCTGTTAAACAGTTATTGAACATTTGAAATAAGTTAAACATTAAAATCATTTAGTTAATTATATATATTATACACACACATATATATACTTATAGTTATTAATAAAATTAAAATATACTAACCGTAATCTGCCATCTTAACATGAGTGTTAACTGCATAAGGATCTTGAAGTGGCACTGGGATAGACCAAACAAGGACATTTTCACTTTTTAAATCTCTGTATATAATTCGCTGCTGATGTAAATATTCTAATGCTTTTGCAGTTTGGAAAACAATTTGTTGCAGAATATGAGGGTCAAATTTTGAACCAGACCTTCGATAGTTCCTTAAAATCTGATCCAATGCCCCCATTGGTGCAAGATCGAGAATAAGTGCCAATGGTTTTGTACAAACACCAATTAATGGAACAATATTTAGATGTTTCAGATTCAGCATTATATTTAGTTCTTGTCTAGCACTACAATAAGATTTACATGTATATTGAAGAGGGTCACGGTCCCATTTTGCTTGAGCTCCCTAAATAGAAAGGTCAAAATATGATAATATTTAATTTTTTTTAAATGTTTTCATACATATCTACTTACTTTATAGGCTATAACAGCAGACTGACTAGCATTAGGCCCTGGTGGCACAGGCTGGAGCATTTTAATAGCAATTTGTATACTATTACCAGGTTTTTTTCCTTTACACACGCCTTTAAAAACAAAACCAAATGCTCCACGGCCTAATAATTTACCTCGAATAATATCTTGATCATTGATGATTAATTCTTCACCCAAATCCAAAAATACCTAAAAAAATTCAACATTATTTAAAATTTTTTCTGACTTTAAACAAAGTAAATATATAAATAGAAACATACAGTATCAGGAGCAACCTGTGCCAAAGGTAAATCTCCATGCTTGGGACATACAACACAAAGTTTATCCACTGATGATGCAGCTAGAATACAATCTTCCACTATCCATCCGTAATGTATAGTACCTTCAACTTGATCATCTGATGCTAAGGAATGACCTTCAACAGATACTTTTCTACTTGATTGTGGACTAATATCATGTCCAAAACCACTGTCACCCCCGTCAGAACCATTGTAACTTTCTTGTGATTTGCGCACAATGTTTTTATTGTCCGAATCTCTCTTTAAAAACTCTTTAGAAATATGATCTATTTTACTCATACCATCATCATCTTTCATGTCAATTGAAATACTATCAGCTTCAACACTTCCAGCTAAACACCTTGGACATGGAACAAGTCTAGTTACTAAACATTTTCCTTCAGATGTATGAACAAATCTGGTACCTAATGTTGGATACCAGTCTTCTAGTAGTACATCTATATGGTCCACTACTAAGGCCAATAATTTTGCTGCTTGTACAGGAGATGGATCTAATACAATAGCTCTGAAACCTATGTCTTCTTCATCTTTATTTTTTATTGGTCTCTTTATAATTACTGTATCTAAAGGTAAGTAAGTTTCAAGAATAGAAGAAGTTTTTATTGGTATATCATACCAAGAGTTTTCTTGGTAAAGTTGAAATCTTAAATGTCTATAATTTATAGGAAAGTTTCGTTGTATTACTTCTTTCATGCGAAACAAAGTAATTTTATTAGCAAATTTTAATTCAATTCCAGTTTGCCATAAAATCCAATCAAAGTGAGTTTGAAAATCAGAGCACATAAAATCATCACCATTCACCTCTGTTGGCATAAAAAATTGTCTGATCACATGGATAATTGTGTCATCTCCAAGAATTCGAGTTATTAGCCGAGACCAAAAGCCAGATGGAAAATATGACATGAGTAATAAACGGCGAACTGATACTTCTGGATCTGAACGACTTGYTATATGCTCTCCGATGTCAATTAAATCTAATGTTGGTGGACTTGAAACTTTAGTTCTTAATTTATGAATTTTTGATTTCAATGGAACTTTGATAGATACCGGTTGTGCTCTTTGACTATACATATCCTCTTCTGATGGTAAAAGAGATGGTATTAATAAAGATCTACTGTCCCAAGTTAGCGCTACTTCAAATTTATTGAGCAAATTAACAATATATTCTCTTGTACATGTAGATGATTTCAACACAATTTGTAGATCATCTAATTTCATTACACCTGATCGAGCAAAAGGATTGATTTCTCTAATTGTTACTACATGTGCTAACATGTCGCATAACCATTGTGGATCTAAAAAATATAGATCTTTCAATGTTGCATCATCGTAATGCAACAGAACACCTAATAAAAATTGAATGGACAATAAATATTTTATTTATAACTTTATGACTGAAAACAAATACTATTCAACAAACCATTTTCATGTAAGAACAAAATTGCTTGGTTAAGTTCAGCCATATCTCGAAATGATTTTTGGTATCTAGATAACATTTCTGCATTAACTGCAGTTCTAAATTGATCCAAGCTTAAAACAGGATCCATGCCAGCTTGTCGTCTTTCAGATCCTATGTGGCTCACAATGTCTTCTAATGCTAAATATGTTGCTGGAACCCTTTGTTCCAATAAAAGTTCTTTGCTTCCTAAAACAAAGAAAAAAATTAAATTTATAGTAAAGTATAGAGTTAAGCCGCAGTTATAAACCTTTTTTGTGTATTTTAATTAAGTTTATTTTATTTTCAAACTATCAAGTCTATACATTCAAACCCAAGCTCAGTTAGATGCTTTAAAATGTATACATGTTAACATTTAACACCTCTAATATACTCATATATAAAATGTAGTTACCAGGAGGTCTAAGACTGAATACTGTATCGTAAATAATATTACACAAAAGTTTAATGTTATGCTTTGTTTTACAACTGATTTCAATTGTATCTAACACTCTAGGTAAACCATATTTTTCTGCATCCACTATATTGATAAATCGATCTCTGATTAGTTGTTGTAATTGTTCTGAATGATATTCAGGAGACATAGTACTTATGACATCGTAATGTGTACCAACAATTATAACAGGTGAATTTGGCGCACGGGCCTGTAAAAAATTACATACATTTTTGTTTCTAAATGATTATTTATTTCAATTACTTGAATGTTGACAAGCCATTGCAAGATTTCTGCAATTCCTCGATGACCATCTGTGATTTTCCAAACCACAATGTACAAGCTTCTTTTGGATAAGAAGTATTGATGTGTGGCATAGTATTCATTTTGTCCACCAAAGTCCCAAGTTCTAAACATCACTGGGCCATATTGAGAATTGCCTCTGATTTTTTTTTCATACACCCAATCACCAATATCAACACCAACTGTTGAAATATTTGTCCCTTTGTTGGTCTTTTGATTTATACTTTTATTTCCCATTCGTTTTGCCCAATGCTAAAAAACAAAGAGYGATTAGTTTCATATCAATAGAAAATATATTTATGCCTTACATCTATAGGTTTTTTTTTATAATTGCCAATGCCTTCTTGCCTAAGTTGGTCCAATAATGATGTTTTACCAATTCCTTGTACRCCAACAATCATTAATTTCATGCGAGCATATGGTTTAGCATCTTCAAGAACCGACTTCAAATAACCAATAACATCCATTGTTTTATACTTATTTGAATCAATCATAGATTTAAGTGGTTCCTGAAGGCTACAGCCTCTGGTGTTTAAATTCCACAATCGAGACAATAGACCCATTTGTGAAGGTAGTTCTGTTACATCTAGGCAAGTAAAATCAGTGAGAAAATAAAAATTTGATTTTAAGATTAAAATTCTTACCTTTATTTCCACTAATGTTTAAAACAGACAAGTTAATGAGTTCATTTATATTAGAAGGAATTTCTTTTAATTGATTATTACTTAAATCCAACATGCTCAAGTTAGGAAAAATTAATTTTGATTTTGAATGTCCCACAACTGCACCTACTGTTTCCTACAAAAATGTACAAATAGCATTACTTAATATCTTGGCAAAAAATACTATTTTAAATACCCAGTCATCCAACTCATCAGCTGAATCGTTTGAAACAGTAGAAAATCCATCATCATCAGTTGACAATTGTATTCTGTTCATACAGTTATCGGCTAACATTAAAGTTCTTAAATTTTCAAGCCTTAAATGGCGTCTGTGTGAACATACACGGTTCAAAATATTTGCTCGTAATGACATTCGTCTACCTTTTAATATTGCATAAATAAATWATAATAGATTGATTAATCGATAATGTTGATACATTAAATTATTTTTAAACATACTAGTTCGTATTTTTGATGGTACAGTTGATTTGGGAACTTGTCCAGTTTCCAATCTATAACATAATAGATTTTCTTGATCAGGTGTAGCCTCTTCTAGATTAATTTGAGGTAAACTAGGCCAAACACATATTTTATTGTGGCTTAGGTCTAATTGTTTGAGTGAACTGGGATATGATGTAATATAACTCATTGTTCTGAGACTAAAAAAAATATTGCAAGTCATAAAATTAAATATAAAATATAATTTAAATTTAAAAGTTGGAACAAATATTACCAATTATACGACATGTTTAGTCGTGTCAGGTTTACGGCTAAACATGAGAGTACAGGAGGTATTGAGCTAAATCTATTATGTGATAAGTTCAATGATGATAATTGTGAGTTGTTAGATTTTACTTCTGATGTATCATCAACTCTTACGATTTGTTCCATTATTTCAATGGTGTGATTCCAAACATTATGATGAACTAATGGTATACTTCTAAAATAATGTATAATAGTTATATTAATTAAATTTAAAAAAATGTTTATCTAGCATACTCATCAATATCATTGACATCAATTTCTTTAACTTCATAAGCCTTGTCTAATATGGGAATTCTTCCAACAGATTTTTCTCGTAAACTTCTGGCTTCATCTTCTGATTGAGCATATGGAAGTTCTTTTATCAAGTTGAATGCCATATTCAAATCTTTTAGTTTAGGCGCTCGCCACATTTGAAAAGGTACAGAATGAAGTTTGTTGTTGGACAAGTCAAGTGTAGTTAATGAAGGCAGTCTGAATAGTTCTTCAGGAATTTTATCAAGACGATTATCCTGTAGGTTGTAAGATTGTTAAGCAATTCATAGACAAATAGATAATCTTTGTCATAACATACTTGCAAGTAAATTTCCTCTAGAACATTTGCTGTATAGATAGATTTGTATAGTTTGGACATTTTCTTGCTAGTAGGAGAGGTTACTTGATGAGAATCTTTAGGATCGGGTAATCTTTCAATTTTGTTTTGAGCCAAATTTAAATACCTGAGACTCTGTAATTGAAAAATGATTGCCGGCACTTGGGTTAGCGAATTATTTGATATATCCAATCTAGTTATAGCAAACAAAACAATTTCTCTACTTCGAGGATTCATTTTTAATCTTGGATTAATATGAAGAGCACCGTCAATCTAATAAATAAATAATAAATCATTAATTCATATACCTTTTCCCACCATAAAAAAATAAAACAATATTCTAACCAGMCACTGTGATTTTATGGATTCAAGTTTACATCTCTGACTATGCCAATTTATCATAACTGGAGTACTAGGAAATATGTTACTGTATGTTAAACTTGATAGACCACCAAATTGTGATGCAATATTATCCGTCATAGCCTTTTTATTAATCTTGTGTTCGGGATCAGCAAAAGCTTTAGTCCCGAGCAATGTTGTAATTAAATGTTGGTTTTTAGTTAACATTGCAGCTGCAAGAGCTTTACAATCATCATCTCTAGAGCCATATTTCAACAGTAATTCAACAATAGCTGTATCTCCTTTACTACATGCTAGAGTCAATGGAGAAGTACCAGCTTCTCGAACATCGTCATCTTTTTGCTGTTTAAATGAAATCAATAAGTAATAAAACTATTTCACTAAAGAAAAACTTACTTTGTAATCAGCAGTTGGTTGTAAAGTTAGTAGATTAGGATCGGCACCATTTTCAAGTAAYGCGATAACCACATCTTTATATCCGTTTCGTACAGCAGCATGAAGAGCTGTTTCTGGAGCTTCTTCATTACAATACACATTTACTTCTACAGGTCTTATGTTTTTYTCATTCAAATCAATTTCCTTTGTCATACTCCCTCTAAGACGAGAGACTATTGACTGTATACCTTCAGAAATACGGCTACGTTTTGATATGTCATTATTATCATCTTTTGCAGAAACTCCATCAGTGCCACTAATCTGAAATACGGATAATCAAATATATTATTGAAAAAATACTAAATCATTTTTAATACATGTCATATATTTAATATATACCTTTATAGCTTTCACTTGGTATTTCAACAGTATGTCAACAATTTTTGAGTTTCCTAAGAGACAAGCCAAATACAACACTGTTTGACCATTGACATCTTTAGTGTTTATGTCAAATGGGACGTCATATTCCCAATTATCTTTTCTRTAATTCAATTTTTTTAGAATCATAAATATGTTATTTAAAATGTTATAACTATCAATTTAAGAAATACCTTAATTTTATCAACATATTAGGAGGATAAGAATATTTTAGTAGAAGCTCTAAGACTTGAATATTTCCATTTATACATGCCGCATGAATTGGCAACCATTTTTCAACAGTAGTTTGTCGAATGAGATCAGGGAATTTCTGAAATACCATTGCATTGATTAGCTTAAAACTAAATTTAAGTTTATACATTGTACCTTGAGAAGAATTTCAAAAACATCTTTTTTCCCTTTGAAAGCAACAATGTAAAGAGGAGAATACYGAGTGATTGGATGTATTCTACCATCAGCTTTATGGTCCAGTAACATTTTCACTAAGTCTTTTTTACCCACTTCACAAGCACTAATGATTAAAATATTAACAACTATAATAATCATCATGACAATAATAAAAATTGCAAGCATTTTAAATCAATACCAGTACAATAATGTAGTGGTACCATTAGGTGCCATGTTAACAATAAATTCTTCCTTAGATCCAAGTTCTGACAAAATTGTTTTGGTCGTACTAATATCACCTCTACAGATCGCTTCTCGCAAAGCCATATGAATTGTAATTTGTGACTCTTCCCAAGAATCTTTAACAAATACACATCGAAATAAGAAAATTTATACTTATATATGGTTATGTAAAAACATAAATTTGTAAAAGAATGAGAGATTCATTTTATGCTAATTTAAAATCCACATATGTCTAAATAAATAATATAAGAACTTACCATCATATTGACAGGTTTTATTAATAAAATAAGCACAAGCGTCTATACCAGTTTCTGTTCTTAAACACTTATTTATAAATGGACCATTCGGGATCAACCAACTAAACATTTTCGTATCATTGCAAATAGTCTAGCTTGGCGATAATGTAGGTATATTATATTATATTATTGTAATAATTTTATTTTTATAACTATGTCAAAGAGAAATAATATAATAATAATAGAAATTTCCACGGCGGTCTACAAACACGCCGTGACTGATACGGCGTGGACAGAGGGGACCTTGTACAACAAATCAAAACTAAAATTTCAATGATTATTATTTATTATATACTATTGTAGTAAAAACGAAATTACTCATACAGCATACAATTATTTTTTATTACACATTTCAACTGGAAAATAATCGCACATTCACTCACTACGAAATAGTTTGAGATGCTTGTGTAYTTATGCATAATGAAATTTTTCTGATCGTCATTGACATAATTTAGTCAAAAAGTAGTGGTACATCACTACGTAAAGCAGAGTACTTACTCAGAGTTATAACTTTTAAGTATACTTAAACTTGACATTAATGGATAGGTATTGAAATATATTGTCATGTACAGGGAATATAACGAATATCGTAAGTAGGTAACTTTTGAAATTTGATTTGATAGAATGAGAAAACCATACTTGACATTTCTTTTATGGACAACCAAAAACCATAGTAATGCAATAAAATTATCTGCTTGAGAAATAATTCAGATACGGTTTTAATTTTAACTTTAACTATTGACATTGATTGAATTACATAACAATAATAATCTAGTGTAGCCGAGTAGGTAACCCGTTAGCTATTTTTTCTTKAAGGYTATTAAAATCCACGCGAGTTACATAAAATTAAGAAAATATATACATTGTATATGCGATATCTAGATAAATACATAATAACACATTCATGGAATTACATTATTTTCAATTGATTAAACATGAAATAGGTATATAAACAATTAATAACACTTCTCACTTCCCGTGGCATTGTATCTGGTAATTACTAATGGTATTTTGGTATCCTAAAATAATTACGTGTCACGTCAATCATAAATTTTCTATAAAAAGAAATAGTTTGTCGGTTCCAAAATTGACTATCAAAACTAGAATCCATATAATAACTGTAATTTTTTTAAACATAATTTATTATGTTTTGGGATGTGTACAGATGTTTTTATTATATAACTGATTTGCGTACCCGCTTTGTTKATCACAATAAAATGTAAGAATTTCCCAATTCCCACCAGGYGCATAAGCCTAATTAGGCTAAATAAAGCGTACTTTTTTCCAAGCATTTTGGTTAAGTTCAATATATACAAAATTCATCAAAATTACGAAAGTGTGTCATTTTAATAGGTAGTTAATAATAGGTACAACTGTACAAAATTCATCAAAAGTCGCTTTTACAGACATTTAAAAATATTATAGTTAACTTGTTTTATATATATTTATATAATATGAGTAATCATGTATTTTTAGATTCTGAGGAAATGAGATGATTTAATTGAGTGTCTTTTATATTTATTTGTGTCTGTGTACACAATAATTAGTCGAAATAATACTTCGATTTTCAACTTCAGTAACTTTTCTGATAGGGAAATTAATCTAGTTGTAGATACGTCGAATACGTCGAGAAGACAAAACTTAAAGAAAAACGGGAATTCTTACGCAAATCAATTTAGAAACTAATCGATTTTGTTTTTTTGTAAAACTTAAAAACAAATAACCTTCAAATTATTATAATTTAAATAAAAAGTTGTACATAAATTCACAATAAATGTTAATGGACACGAGTTACATGTTTYCAAGGTTAGAATTTTGACGAAATTCGTGAAAATCACGAAAATTTCCAAATTATTTTAAATTAGCCAAATTCATAAAAGTTGGCTTCATTTATATTTAAAATTTATAAAAAATAATAAAAAAAGCGGGAAAGTGGATGTCGCTCTGTACAGTAGGTTTAGGTTTATCTGTCAAGGATATATTATAGATTATTAAAAATTTTCAAATCTTAGATTTAAAAAGAAATTTTTTTATGAATTTCTATATAAGATAATTTGTACATTGCCGTAATTTTTACGTATTTAGTCAAAACTTGAACTTCAAAAAATCGTATTTATGTATTTTTCAACTGCTATTGTTACAATGTGTTAGAAGCCTTGTATTAAATTTTCAAGCTTTTCTACCCAACAAATACATTTTTATCGATATTGATAGAAAAAAAAAACCAAAAAAGTTGAAAAATTAAAATGTCAGTAAACAGCTTAAAACAAATCTAAATTTTTTGAAAATTGCATGGTGGATAGAATATACTTACATAAACATTTCATGTATCTCTATGGTCATTTTTTTAAAGTTACATCAAAAACCAAAATCGATTTTGTCGAAAACTGATTGTGCGTAAAATTTCCAGTTTTTCCCTTAATTTTTAGTTTGTGTATTCCGATTATTTAGAAAAATTTTTGACCCCCCCAAAGTACCAACTATATTCACTTTCTGATCGAACGAGGTACTGAASTCAAAAATCGAAGCACTTTTACTGCCCCAAAACGTGATGACAGTCACAAAAAAAATTAAAACACACATCATGGTAAAATCAATACATTCATCGCTCCGCTCAGAATCTAATACAAGATTCCTCATAAGTTGTCTACCTTTAAAAAAAAAATTAAGTTAAATTTGTTKACATTGGATATTCACCTGTTAGCTAACAATTTATGATAGAATAATTTTCTTATCATGCTGTAATTCAAAAATGATCAGGGATATTCATTATGGAGGGTATGTTACAACTTACAAACATACTAAATATTGGAGTATTAGCTATTATTCTGAGGGATTATTGATTATATATATTAATATTGATTAAAGATCGTGTACCTAATTTATATAGGTCTTCAAGTTTKTAGATACTCCTTAAAAATTGGAATCTATAAGAAGCCATAGGGGGAAAAGTTTTATTAGATATTTAAATAAAAGTTTTAGTTATTTTGTTATAATTCATAGAATATTAATATTAGGGATTCAAAACTTTTCATCATAATGTAAATTATTATTTTCATTAATATTTAGAGTAATTATAAGCTATTTATACATTAAACTTACTTATACTGTGCTACTATACATCTTGAATGACTTATAAGAAACTAATAATAATATAAGATATAATATTATACAGTATAATAATTATTAACAGGATATGCTATTTATTAGGTAAACATTGGTTATTGAAACCTTCAACCTTCTGTGTTACTAGTATAAAAATAAATATCTAATTGTGTAGGGTAAACAAACTAAATATTTCCAAAAACCAAATTCAATTCTCATAGCTCTAAAATATAATTACTACATAATGTTTAAATTTAACATCATCATATTTGAGGTACTAATTGTWATAGATTCACCAGAGGTAATCATTTAATTCAAATTAAATTGTGAGAAATAAGGAGATATTGTATCAATAATTTATACTTTATGTGTAATACTGTAATTAAGTAAAAGTTCTTTTTTTTTGGTTTTTTCAAACCAATAATTAAATTACGAAGAATATTCTTTCATTTAAGTATATGTTTTATTGTTTTTAAAAGTAAAGTAATTTAATGACTCACATTAGGTGGAAAATATATAAAATAATGTTAACTAATGAAATGTGGCTTTACAAAATTAAAAAAATATTAATAAAACTAGGTTAACTATTAAATTTGAGAAAATTATGTCATAAGTCATAATATCTTTCAGTGGGTCATCTTCAAAATATTTGTTGATGACATTATTCCAATTAAAAAAAATATAAATGTATTATTAATTTCACCTGAAGCATCTTTCAGCAATTTGCTGCAAACAGTATTTTCTGCATTAAGAGCTATATCAAGTGCTGTAAATCCATTAGAGTCTTGCAACATTACATTTGCATTGTGATTTAAAAGTGTTTGTATATTTTTCGGACATCCAATATGTGCACTTATATGTAATGCTGTCTGTAATAATGAAGAAAAATTATTCAATTTATATAAAAACATATTATTTTWAGACATTTACGAATWACCAACTAAAAAAAAAAATGTTAAGCATTAATTTACATTATAAGTAGTCTATTTATAAATWACATCAAATTTTTAAGTAATGTTACATTAAAAAGTATGAAGTATACACAATATAATAATTATTACAAACCCTGGACTCGCCACGAGGACCACATGGTGTATCTACAAGAGCTAAAGCCAAAAATATATAAAATTATTGTTTAATAAGAAATCAACAGAGATCAAATTATGAAATATTACCACCAGCATTGAGTAATATTTCCAGACAATCAGAACTTTCATTTGAACATGCTGCATGAAGAGCAGTGCGTCCCCATGAATCACGGCTGTTTATGAATTTTTTATGCTCGTCGTCTTTAAGGAGGTCTGTCAAAAAGTCTACATTGTCCCATAATGCAACCTACACAATTTTGAATATGGTTAAACAATAAGGTTTGGGGGTAGATATCGACAAGCAAGCAAGCAGATCGTTTATGTCAGCATACCTGGTGTAACAGTCGACCAGGAAAATCCTCGTCTTCAGCCATAATTTTGAAACACGGATGGAAAGAATGGAGCCCTTCACAGTAAACATCTCACGAATCGGCATATTTTATCGAGTAGTTTACCTCGGAAAAGAGGCATTTTATTATTTACATTTACATCACAGGTTCACTAACACGCACACCTGTGCCAACAAAAAAATCATCAAACACAGTGTCACAGTATAGTTCGAAATACTGTGAAACGGCTAGAGTTCATAATATTGTATTATTAATAGATAATAAAAGTAMTACCTAATATTCTGAAATTATAAAATAATTTCTTATCAACATACTGTAATCGGATTATCAATAAGGCAATATAAATGAAGTTAGATTCAATTTCATTGAAATATATATCACTATTTTATTACATAGCTACGAGTTAAAACGAGTTACGATCTGAAATTTGTAAAAATTCATATACCTAATATTATGAACCTATTAAAAACGAAAGCAAAATCGGTCATATCACTCATATCAACGTTTATCAGCTTGCTGCCCTTGGGCTTGAACTCTCTTATCGTCCCGTTCAGACCGTTCCATTAGTATTTACTATTAATTATTAATTTTACTGGGTATTTGTTAGCGCGTACATTCCTTTTTTCACTGTTCGTAATATTTGTTTAATATTTTTTATGTGTAAGTTTTCAGCGAAGTAAATCAAAACGTCAACAAAATGAACAGTTCGTCGGTTTTAAGAAAACACACTCTTAAGGTTAGTTACACATAATTTGTTCAGAAAACCAAATAGGTAGGTTGCTCACTTTGAACGGGTTTATTTAACCTACAGAAGGTCAAATTTAACATGTCAATTACAATTAAAATATATAATTAGGTTTTGATTTTATAATTTTACCTTTTTCAGTTTATTAGTTATATTACCAAGGGTTTGAGTTTAGCCTAGGTTTGAGTGCTCAGTTTTCTAAATTGAGATAAATTGTAGTAATAGTTAAATCTTATGTTATGAATATTAAATAATAGTGTCAACTTTTTTAAAAACTTTATACAGGCTCTCTACATACAATTTTGGGCATCTGTACTATATGTTTGTGCGGGCCTCATGAAATTTAACTTAATTTTAAACAAATATTCCTATCCTAAATTCAAAAATTGCAAATTCATTTCCATGGGTCTCTAAAAGCCAGGTCCAATACCTCTCCCACTCATTGTTGGAGCCCTGCCTATTTAGTATTATGGTAATAGTCAACAGAATTAATGGTTAGGTAATAACTGGTAAGTCTTATTTCAGTATAGCTACTTAAACAATTAAAAGGAACAAATTCTAGTTTAGCCCCCTAGCGATTTAAAAAATTTTTTTTTGCAAAATGTTTGTTTTTGTATGCTTTTTGTAATGGTACATTAAAATAAAGTTGCTCAAACTTCTTATGGAAGTAATGTTCAAAAAACTTCAATATACTCTATTTTTCAAAAAATAATGTTATTGAATTAAAAATATCAACAATTTGAATTTTTGGAATTTTTTTTTGTATTGTTAGTATTTGTATGCTTAATTTTTTGGTAAAATCAAAATTGATCTATCGTACTTTTTATGTTAAACTTAAAAATGATCGATTTTTTCCAAAAATTGTGTTTTTGAGTTAAAAATATCAATACCTAAACATTTTGAAATTTTTTTTTCATTCGATGTGTAATAACAAAAAAGTTTTTGGTGTAATCAAAATTTGTCGGTCGGACTTAGTTTCAAAGTTATTACACCTCAAATAGGGAAGTGATTACATTATTGGCAGCACTCGTCACTCTGCTCTGCAAATCAAAAATATCCCTCAACTTGCTATGCAACACCACCTCAAGTATGCCACAGTGTAAGTTATGCTGTAGTTTATGGGCAGTGATTAGCGACACTCTTTGAAAAAATTCTAAAAATACAAATTTTTGATATTTTTAATTCAATAACATTATTTTTTGAAAAATAGAGTATTTCAAAGTTTTTGAACATGATTTCCATTAGAAGTTTGAGCAACTTTATTTTATTTTTAATGTACCATTACAAAAAGCATACAAAAACACTCATTTTGCAAAAAAAATTTCAAAACATCACTTTGAAGCTAAACTAGAATTATGCCAAATGTAGTATCTAGATACTTACTAAAATAAGTAAAATTATGTATTCAATATTTTTGTATTAATTTATGCAAAAAATGTATGCATAACATATTCTAAATACACAATTTAAATTACCTTGCAGAATACCTACATCAATCCAGATCTTTGTAAAATGCATATATATTTATGAGTGGTATTAGACAATGTACTATGAGTTCAAAAACTTAGTGATATCAGTTATTCAATTCAACTATTATCTAAGCTAGTAGTTGTCGACGTGTGTATTTTATGATCAACTAAAAAGTATTTGAAATTTTATATAGTTAATACTTTATACCTTGTCCTAAACCTATAATATTTTTTTATTCGGGGTACATTAATTACCTGTTTTAAGAGGACGCCACACCCGCATATGTTGTCTTCGTCGTACAAGTGCGTAATAGCAAATTTTACGCTCAGAAAATCTCGTTTATCTCCTTCAATTTAAAATTTAGAGTGAATTGACCTATYATAAAAATTAAAGGCAAGATTATTACCATGGGCTTTTTATTATATTTTAATTTTAAACCAAGTTATGAGTATTTTTAGATTTAAAAATAATTTACAATTTTAAAATACTTATAACTCGCTTTAAAATTAAAATATAATAAAAAGCCCATGAGATGCCCTCGGTAATAATCTTGCCTTTAATTTTTATAATAGGTCAATTCACTCTAAATTTTAAATTAACGGAGATAAACGTGATCTGCTGAGCGTAAAATTTGGTATGCTATGCACTTGTACAACGGAGACAACACATGCAGGTGTGGCGTCCTCTTAATACTAATTAGTTAGCTACCTGGTAATATAACAAACTGCCTTTAAAATTAAATTACAATAAATATGTAACTTGTTAATAAATGTTTTAAGTCAATAATTTCTTGTATGAATATATAGATTTTTAAGATTGATTGTTATGATTGGCTGTTAGAAAACAATGTCTTAATGAATTCTAGAAATTACACTTTATGTTTAATAATTATGTGCTTACATTTTTGTATGTGCAATTATTTAATGTATTGAAACTTCAACTTTGTAAGCCATTATGCCAAAAAAATATTAACTAGTAACTATTAATGCCCTTATTAAATGTTGTTTTGGTACATTCTATGAAAATAATATTRGTCGAGAAGTCTATGAGAAATTATAATATGGTTCTTTATTTGTAATGCATGATTAGTATTGATTGATACAATTTGTGTTTCTGCTAGTATCTAATCAATTAATTTGAAACAATTTTTTTATAATTTGTTACGTACTATCCATATTTTGAAATATCTTGACTGATTTTTTTATTAATTATTTTAATTTTCAAGAGAAATGAGCATTTTGTGATATTTCATAATTCATATCTTGGTTGAAAATTAAAATATTGAAAAAACCTCTGACACTTGATCACCAATAATGTATTTACCTAAAAGTGTGATGATTTATCAATTCACTCTAATATCAAAACTAATAGCATACAATTGAGATTTGTGAACAAAAATGTGTTATGTTGTATATTTGTAAATTGGAGATATTATAACACTTGGTTCGGTGTCCTCTTAATAATTTGAATAATTAAAAATTTAAATTTGATTTAAAAATTATATTTTACTGAATGAAATATTATTTTTAATTAAACAAATAATCCATATTTAGTCACAGATATTAATCACATAATAAAGATAATAAATCTTCATCACATTGAGTAAGACAATAATAATTTTTTTTTTATAACTTTACAGTCTATGTCATCAGTTAGTTTTAGTTTGTTGTATCATCATTTATTATTGTTTTAAAATTTCGTGAACATAACATTTTAGCATTGAATGTTTTTGTATGTTGTGACTAATTTAGATAATATTCAATAGGTTTTATTTTGTACCATATTTTAACATTTATTTTTCTGTTGTTTACAGAATGTGTTATCTATCTTRGAGAGTCGTCTCTTTTCAAGCACACCAGAAGCCACTTTTGAAACTAAGGTATAGAGACAGTTTATGTTTAAATATATATTTTTTAAATTGATATTTTCACCAAATAAATTATGTATACTATTTAATTCTTTAGCCATTTAAGTTGCATAAACTTGAAAATGGTCCGAGTACAACTGTCACCTTGTCTTCAGAAGATGCTATTAAATATTATAAACAAATGCAAACTATTCGACGAATAGAAACAGCTGCAGGTAATTTGTACAAGGAAAAAATAGTTCGAGGTTTCTGTCATCTCTACTCTGGACAGGTAAATTTTATAAGTTGTTAAAAATATCCAAGGTTTTTCAATACTTTCCATGCTATATTGCTATCTATTTAATTAATATTGTATGCCGTTATAAAAATTACAACATAGTTGTTTAAATAATCAGTATGTGTTTTTATAAAATTTGTTTCTAGGAAGCATGTGCAGTAGSAATGAAAGCTATGTTCCGTGACACAGATTCAATAATTACTGCATATCGTGCTCACGGATGGACATATCTTATGGGTATTGAACCTTTTAGTGTATTATCAGAATTAACTGGGCGTAAAAGTGGAAATGCTCGTGGTAAAGGAGGTTCTATGCATATGTATGCTAAAAACTTTTATGGAGGCAATGGCATTGTTGGAGCTCAGGTAAATACATTATTTTGTAGTTAAGCTATATATTTATATTCTATAATTTAAAAAAAACTTCATTTTTAGGTACCTCTTGGTGCTGGCATAGCACTTGCTGCTAAATATTTAGGGACTGGTGGTGTGTGTTTTACTTTATATGGTGATGGAGCTGCTAATCAAGGACAAGTATTTGAGGCTTACAATATGTCGAAATTGTGGGATCTACCTTGTGTTTATGTTTGTGAAAATAATGGCTATGGTATGGGAACTAGCTCTGAACGTGCATCCGCTAGTGTAGCATATTATACGCGAGGAGATTATATTCCTGGTATCTGGGTGGACGGTATGGATATTTTGGCTGTCAGAGAAGCTGCTCGTTTTGCCATAGATTATTGTTCTAGTGGTAAAGGACCACTAGTTTTAGAAACAGCAACTTACAGATACTCTGGACACTCAATGTCTGACCCAGGTACATCTTATAGAACTCGTGATGAAATTCAAGAAGTGCGACAAACAAGAGATCCAATAACATCTTTCAAAGAAAAAATCATAGGAGCTAATTTAGTTAATATTGATGAATTAAAGGTAAATATGCTAATCTAAAATTAAGTAGCCATATTAAATACTTAAAACTATATAGTATTAAATAATATTGTTTTATAAAGCAATTTAATTATTTTTTAATAAAATGCAAATTAAAAAAAAAAATAAAGTTATTTATTTATTTTTATTAGGGTTATTATTTAATTACTAATATCAGTGTTTGCAACATTCACTAAAAAAAATGAATTCGTTCATGTTCACGTTTAGTCCTTAAAAAAGGAACTTGTTCATGTTTACGCTCATGTTTTTTTTTAAAACTAACGCATTCATATTCTTTGAAAAAATGAAAGAGTTCATTTAATTTTCTTTCATGATTAGGGACCAGCAATTAATACAAAAATCTTAAACATATAGGACTCAACCCAAAAATTAAAACACAATTATTAGACTTAAGAGTATAATGTATATACATTTTCTAAAGTATCTAAATTATATACATATATTATAAAATAGTAAATCAATTGAGTGTTTTAAAAATTGTTCAAGTTCATTAAAAATATAAATGTCGTTTATGTTCTATTTGAAAAAAATGAGTGACATTCACTAACTATGAACGTATTTACATGTGTTCATGAACAACATTCTTTCCGAACACTGATTAATATAGACATATCAGTATACTAGTTGTACCACCTTGTGTTTCGGCATCTTTTTTATTATTCATTTAATTATTGTGTGGTGGTTTATTAAAATACATATAAACAATATAGGTTCATAATATTTGATAGTAATAATTAATTTCTTATTGTTTAGCAAATTGATAAAGAAATTAAAGCTGAAATAGACGATGCTGTGAAGAGAGCAAAAGCAGATACGGAAATTCCATTGTCTGAACTTGCAGGTGATATCTATTCAAAACCTCTTGAGACCACAGTTAGAGGAGTAAGTCCGTTCGAAAATTTGGAACACATAAGAGTTGGACCAGCTGTAAATTTAAATTAAAATTCAGAATTTATGTATAATCCTTAAAGTTCAAACTGCACATTTACTAAAATATTAAGTCCATTTATTATATTCATAATTTTTTATTAGTTATGTTTGTGTATGGATTAGATGCTCTAAAGCGCTTTATTATTCAGTTTTACAGTTACAATTTTAGTACAATGAAAAAAAAATATTTTTGTTGAATGGTAAAAATGTTAAATATTTATTTACCTAAAATATTCTGATAATACTTGAAATTGAAATGTACCTATATTAGAGCAATAAACAGTTGAATTTGTTAATCAATAAATGTAGTAATTATTATTAGTATAATATTTCTTTAAAAATGATGTGTTCGCTTCACACTCAATCTAAGTCTACTGATTGCCAAATAATATTTTTTTCTAGTCCAAAAGTACTTATCTTTCTCCAAATTTTCTTAGTAACTTAAGTTCAGTTTTGGCACAATGGTTTTGGGGATTTAACCAAAATTATAAAATCCAAAAACTACCTTATATGAAGTTGCTATTTAAGTAAATTTACATATATCTTTTAATCTTATCTATTAAAATATTTACTTGTCAGATTGGTACATTGTATTAAATGTTTTATTAATATGAATTATTAGTTATGAATGTTATAATCATACCGACATATATATTTCATGCAATAGTAACTTTTTATAATGTATAAAAACATCAAGCATATTTAATATAATTTATAATATTATATACACATACTAAGTAATAATTGAATAATATATAGGTGAATATGGTAATATAGATTAATTTCAAGTGAATTTTGCATGCTACAGCCTACAGGTAGCCACATTAAAAAATATGTCAATTTTAACATTCTACTTGAATTTTTTGTGACTATTGTTTAGTGCCGTAGAAACCGCGGTGCGTGGGGTTTATTGCACCGGGGCCCCACGTTGCAATTTCTAATATGAGACCCATACTTAAATAAAATGATATAAGAATTAAGAATATATACTAAGAATAATTTTTTTAATAAGATCATAATATAATTATAATTCTGTTTGTACTTTGTTATTTTAGCATAATATAGCATCCCCCAGGTTTAAATTAGCACTCCCAGTTCCCATATAATAACATCTAACAATATAATTATTTTTAAATATTTTGAATACATAATATATGATGTACAGTATATGTACTTAGCTTAAATAAATAAAGAGTGACAATTACATTAACATTTATACAATTTCAACTTTATTATTAGTTATTAATTTGTCTATACAAAGTATTGAAGAAAAATTAATTAAAATTTTAATTAATTATATTTGTATTATAATTAAAAAGTAAAAATATGAATGACTAAAAATTTAAAATTATTGCAATGCAGCTTATTGCAGTGGGGTTACGGACTGCGGGGGGCTAAGCCCCTACGGATCTGTGTACCATCAATTATATCAGCACCCCCTACATTTACATCCAATGTGCACCTATTTAAAGGGGCCACGGATTAAATTTGCACCGGGGCCCATCTAGTTCTAGCTACGGCACTGTTATTGTTCAAAGATTATCATGACAGTACAATATAGATGTACCTATTCATGATTATTTTAGTTTAGTTTTATACCTATTATCAAATAGTTATAATTTTGGTATTAAACTGTATAGTTGTTTTCCTTTGGTCATATATGACAATCGTCGCTGCAGTAATGCGAAAGTAATCCCCGCGGCGTTGTCGGTTCAATCTGGAAAAAAAGATATTATTATTATATTACAAATAKAAAAAAAATCTTGACATATTTTAGTATTTATTACGTGTACTATGACATAAAAACCTATATATAATTGTATTTATATATACGTATTTAATATGTATTTAGGAAAAACCGTGAGGATGTGCCATTAACGAGTTAAAAAGTTTAAGATGTATTTTTTTCATGACTTGTTTTTATGGCGAACCTATCTATCAACTAATCAACATAACGAATAGACCTTGATACTTTTTACAACATTGTAAAACGCATAAAAGCTTAACGAGTTATTTTTTATCACGAAATAAAGTTAATGATTTTTATTTTAGATTTTGAGCAGAGCAATATGAATGTTTATGTCTTACAAAGTTATAATGATGACATCGTTTGGATTTTGGATTGTATATAGAATATTTGCCAATATTTTCTTAGGCGAATTTTTATTGTAGTTGGAATCTTGGAAAATCAATTAATAACGAAACCCGTGTCCTAGCTCGTGCTGGGCGTTATAGCTGATAACGATGGACTGTCTTCAAACAGAGGCTGAACAATGTGTCAATGTATATATAGTAACATAGGTAGTATGATACTTTGCGCCAATTATGTACGAATAGTGTAGTACTACAATTTAAAGTGGTGTAGTAACAAAAGTCTCACCTACACATTTCAGTCTTTCATAAAATAAAATAATTTAGTTTTTAAGTTATTTATAGGTAACTAAACTGAAATTAAATTTTAAAAAAGGTGTCTGCTGTGGATTAAGAGTCGTTTAGGCTACTGTAATGGGTAGGTTAAATTTGGATATAGTGATATAAAAAAAGTATTAGTATTTTTAAACATGAGAAATTTTCGAGTACCTATTGTACATTTTTTTTAAATTATTTTCAAAAAAAAAAAAATTTACTCAAGAAAATATTGAAAATTCAATGCTAGGTTTCTCGTTAATTATTTTGAAATGCCCGAAAATTTGCAAATTGTTTTTCAATTAGAAATTCATAAATACTTTCTTTTGACAGCGAACACTTAAAAATACGTACTTGAATATTTCCAATAAGTTTTTTATCTTTAAGTCTTTAACAAGAAAAGAAAAAAGATCACCTGAAGTAACGTTATTTATATTACCATGAAATATTGATTATTTTTTTTAAAATTGTTTTTTAGGTTTATTTATTATAAAAGACTTACCTATAGTAATTGTCATTGTATTAGGTAATAAACGATACCTATACAGTATACATCAATAGTTTACTGTTAGTCGTGCAAGCGTATTTAAGGCATATTTTTATTTTTAATTATCGGGTGTCCGGGTAGGAACCTTTAATTTAATTATTGCTATGTGTATAGTGTACCCAAGTATATTTTAAAATAATATATGTATATTATAGTTATATTATGATAAAAGTATGAACATATTGGTAAAAAATTAAACCTTGGTAAATTTTAAGGTTTAATATAGCTTTAGCTTGCAGTAACCCGAGTTTTAATACGGCAAAGTGATAACAAAAAAATACAATTTTTGTTTAAATATAAGAACCTATAGGAATAATTACGACCATACAACTTAAAGGATACTAAAAATGTAACCTTCAACGGTGTGTATAAAAAAAAGTATCAACTCTATAGGTTAGCCGTTAGGACAAAAACAAAATTAGTAATATAGGTAATTGATAATTTATTTGAGTAACTACACTATTTAAAATTAAAAAGTTAATACTTAGTTATAGAAATCACAATTTAAATTACCATACCGTATCCATAAAATAACATACATAAATCTTGCTTATAAATAATTATAATATGTTAGTTTAGATGCAAGAGGCCCGCTCAAGGCACCCAAGACCCAACTCAACTTACTCAACTTTTTATCAACATTTATAACTAAAAATACAGTTTATCATATATCTGATTACAACATAAAAGTACAATAAATAATAATCGGAATTAAGCTTGGAATTATTTTCAAATTACTAAAATGTATCATTGTTTATCGATCAAGAATACTTACCTAGTTACCTATTCAGTGGCGTAATTACGGGGATGCACGACGCCACGACGGTGCACTTGCACCCCCAGGTATTATGTAGCAGGTGCAAAGATATGCTTTTGCACCTGCAGATKCTGAACTTTATACCTATTGAAATACAATACCAACTAAATTTCATCGATTCGTTGATTTTTTTTTAAATTTATTTAAAAATGTTGTATCACTTTAATTAATTTCATATATAAATATTATATTTTTATATGTATAATGTACGATGTACGAATGTACCATATATAGTACAGACACAGCACATAAAGTATTTAAAATATAGGTAGATACAGATTTTGATATTTGTTTATGTTATATTGTTATTAAATGTAACCTAAACCTATAGCACATGCGAGCAATGCAATTAGCTTTAAATATGAATAATATGACTTAATTTATCATAACGATTATTGGACCGATAACATTTTGCACCTGCTGAAATTTAATGGAATTACGCCAATGTACCTACCTATTTAATAATACCTACTTGACACCTCGTATTATTCAACTCTATATCTTTCAGCAGACTTATAACGAATGGAATCCAGTTAATCTTATTAATCTTAACACTTCCTAACACACTATTTTTTAGCATTTAACATTCTGATGTTTAAAACATTTAAACATCATGTCTATCATAATAATAACCGTTTCACTTTTGTGTATAATAAGTAATAATAATATGATTTATTAATCGCTATATTTTTTCAATAGATTATTATTCATAATATCAGACGATTTCGAAATTTTATTATAAATTATAGGCCATTTGGTAAAAGTGCGGAATTCCCATATTGATCAAGATCAGTTGGCTGAATAAATAGGTGTTCCCGTAATTTTATTGATACATAATATTTAATTATACAGGCATACATTATATCAGTGGTTCCCAATTGGTGGTCCGTGGACACCCAGGGGTCCTCTTTTTGATGTAATGTGGTCCTAGGTTATGCAGTACCGAAGTGATATTTTTATTTTATTTTAGTAGAATTTTTAAACACGTATTGATTTGAAATTCCAGGTATTTTGAGGAATCGCTAACGAAACTCGATTATCGCTAAAAAGATCGACAAATTAATGTATTATATATATAATTTTGCTATTGTTGTACAATTATATATATAGTTATTCTATAAGCTAATAAAAAAAATATATATATATATAATTTTTTTTTTTATAATTAAACAAAATTGGAAAGTAAGTATTCACAAATAAGGGGTTCCCCGCCCTATTTAAGTTTTAGCTAGGGGTCCGTGGCCCAATGCTAAATGGGAACCACTGCACTATATAATAGTACAGTAGGTACATATATTGATATATGTATATTCCCATGTAAACCGTTTTATAATAGGCCTAACTTAGGTATAACTAATTATATTTATATAGGTATATAAACGAATAACGGAATAACTGCCAAGATAAATTGATTATATCATCCGTGTTTGTTTTAAATAATAAT